AAAGGACTCTCCTTGTCCCTTAAGATCAGCTCTGGGATAGCCCCAACCTCTTTAAACACCCAACCGGTGTTTCATACAGACACAGGAAATACCCCTTTGGTAAAAGTTCTAACCTGCTAGTTAAATTAGCTAGACCCACTTCCTTGCTTCTGTGTTCAGGCAATGTTGGGGGCGGGTGCACACTTTCCTCTCAGGGTTAATTATAAACATCCCTTCGCATTGGTATATTCAGTCTCTGCAAACAGATCCAGCTGGTCTGAGCCTTCAGAAGCTTCACCCAGTCTTACATCTTTGTGAAAACCTTGGTCCCGTGACTTCTTTGGGAGTACAAACAAATCCTGTTTAGCAGTTTATCTTGGGTCTCAGGTGCAGGAATGAGATGGGAAGGCCTGGGATATGGAGATAGTCTGAGCTCCAGGATGAGTGAGGAGGCTCCTTTCTGCCTCAGAGATCACAATCTTGCCTAAAAGTGGGGTCTCTTGGGCTCAGGCTGGAGTGGTGTTGTCTTATCACTATCTTCCCTCCTTCCCATTTCCTCAGCCAAACTTCCTACTCCAGTCTCTTGTACCACACCCCACCCCACAATAGCCTTTTTCCTCCAGCCTTTCCAACATCATCCTTAGCCATGTCTTCTCCCTTCCTGGGTGCCAGCCTTAGCAATTTAGAGAGAACTTAAGCAACTTAGAGATACTCATCTCTCCCAACATTCTTCTGGGAAAAGGCAGAAAGAAAAGGCAGCCCAAAGTTCAATTAGTTTCCCTGATATGTGGATGACATCACACCACCTGCACATCTCCCTCCACCCTGCTTTCAAGAGTGGAAGATAATAAATCCCAGCCAAAAAGTCACTGCAACAGGTTCAGCCCTTGATGACCTGTGCCCCATGTGCATCTTATTCTTACTTTAAGCCTGGCAGGTCCTCTTCTAGACAATCTCCTGGAAGTTTTCAGCCTCCCTCACCTTGCTCTTGCTGTTGGTGTGTACCATCGGCTTCAGCCCTCCTTTCCCTGCCACCAGTGCTGGGGACCCAGCCCAGGGCCTCACACACGCTAAGTAAGTGCTCACCACACCCACAGCCCCTTCAACTCTCACCCTTTTAGCTATCTTTTTTTTTTTTTTTTTTTACTTTTTCCCTTTCATTTTCTTTTTAAAACCAGAATATCACATTTATTTCAGAAGTAACAGCAATGTTAAAATTGACAAGTTAAAATTTTTTTACATAATACTTTTATTTGTTCATTTTTTTTTTTAATGTGGTGCTGAGGATTGAACCCAATGCCTCACATGTGCTAGGCAAGTGCTCTGCCACTGAGCCACAACCCTAGCCCTAAGTTCAGTTCTTAACTATACCAACTTTTTTCTCTTTTTTAATACTCCTGGGCATTAAATGTCTCTGGGATAAAGATTGAGGTTAGCAGAGTGGGGAGAGCTGATGACATCAGGCAGCACAGATGGAGCTGGGATCTTCAGTCTCTGGGTGGCTGGGGAGATGAGCAAGCATGCTCACACTCTCACACACACATACACACACACACACACATACATAAATACAGAATTAAGTTTCCACTTCCAATCAATCAAGACCCTCCATCTCCTGGGAAAAAGAGTTTTGCAGCCAGGTGCAGTGGCACACACCTGTGATTCCAGCGGCTTAGGAGCCTGAGTCAAGAGGATCAAAGCCAGCAACTTAGAGACACCCTGTTTCAAAAATTTTAAAAATGGCTGGGGAGGGCTGAGGTTGTGGCTCAGTGGTAGAGCACTTGCCCAGCACACGTGAGACACTGGTTTGATCCTCAGCACCACATAAAAAATAAAATAAAAGTATTGTGTTTATCTACAACTAAAAACAATGTTAAAAAAAAAAGGCTGAGGATGTGGCTCAGTGGTAAAGCACTTCTGGATTCAATACCTGGTACAAAAAAAAAAGTTTTGGAAATAACAAAATAACAATCTGATATGATCCCCTTCTTGTTATAGAGACTTCCATAAACATAGGTTACAGATAGGCAACAGCCCTCATTGGTCCCAGAAACACACAGTCCCTCCACCTGGGCTTAATATCTGAAATTTCCTTCCTTTCAAGCCACATTCTGTCAGCACCTTGGGGACATTAGAGACCATCTAGCCCAATCCCTTTATATAGATGAGCCCAGGGGCTGGGGATGTGGCCTCGCCTGGCATGCCTGCGGCCGGGTTCGATCCTCAGTACCACATACAAAGAAAGATGTTGTGTCCTCCGAAAACTAAAAAATAAATATTAAAAAAATTATCTCTCAAAAAAATAAATAAAAGGTTTTCTTAAAAAAAAAAAAGGATGAGCCCTTTGGGTGGAGGCCATTCTTCCTTGAGAGTGCATTGAAATATGTCTTTGGGGGATGAGGCTAGAGCTTAGTGGTAGAAAGCTTGCCTAGCATCCTTGGAGCCTTAGGTTCCATACCCAGCACCGCAAAAAAATAAAAAATATATGTAAAATACACCTTGGTTACCTGAGAAGGATAACAATAAAAACACATCTGTGCCAGTGAACCCATTAACAGAGTTTAATCAGATTAGCTCATTGTCATAATTTAGAAGGCCTGGGGGCTGGGGATGTGGCTCAAGCGGTAGCTCGATCGCCTGGCATGCGTGCAGCCCAGGTTCAATCCTCAGCACCACATACAAAGGAAGATGTTGTGTCCGCCAATAACTAAAAAATAAATATTAAAAAATTCTCTCTCTCTCTCTCTCTCTCTCTCTCTCTCTCTCTCTCTCTCTCTCCCCTCTCTCTCTCTCTTAAAAAAAAAAAAAAAAAGAAAGAAAGAAGCCTGGAAAATATTGGAAGCATTCCCCAGAGGCCCCCTCCCTTTGGAAGCTCAAGTTAAGCAAGAGAGGGGAACCTCCAGGGTGAAGGGGAGGACCCTTGGGATGCCCTGGAGTGGAAGCTTGGGATCCCTTGGGATCACCTTCAGAGGGGCACTCCTGGGTGTGTCAAACATGTTGGCTGCTTCATCCGGCAGCTCTGAGAAGATCTGTTGGCTAAGGCAGCCCCTTTGGGCTTTTTACTGTATTCAAAAAGGTTTTCCAGGGCCCAAGTCCCACCCTCATCTACATCCCCACCTATGTCTCCCATTTCCACAAGAGGGGTCCTGCCCCTTGTCCCCCCTGGGCAGTTCAACCCCACCTGTCACACCCCCATACCTGTGCTCCCTTTGTCGCTCTGTGGCTGCCCCAAGCTGGCTTCCGCTGCCTGTTCTGTGCTGGGTGGGGCTGGTAGGACCTGCTCCTGGGCGGGTGGTGACACACCCACCCCAGCAGTTCTCAGCACATCCCTCCCAGCTCTTTGCACTCACCCAACCCCACAGGGCCAAGGAGAAAGAGAAGAGGAAGCATTGACCTCAGAGGCCTTCATGGACTAGAGAAGAAACCCCCCACTCCAGCAGCTAATGACACTTAATCCAGCCCTAATTTACCACCTACCTCCCCCACCCATCCCTCACACACTCAAGCAGCTTCCGGGAACTCTTACTGGCACACCCACCACTGATGCCCGATGACTAACCCACTGCTGCTCACTGTTCTCACTCATACCCTCTCCTGTGTGTCTCTTCCTCTCTTAGGTCGGCCAGGTGGTTTACCCCATGCAATTCTGCTTGTACCTTCCCCTGCCCAGGGTTCTCTCTGCATACCAGTGTTCTGCAAGGCCCTCTGTCTCTTCCTCTCTCCCTTCCAGTACACACCCAGCTCCTCCAGCAATGCCAGGCTGGATGCTTCCTCTTTACTCAGGTCTATTTCCCCAGGCTTGGAGTTTCAGAAGGGCAGAAAGCTCAGATGACATACCCTCACCTCTGTATCCTGCAGCTGAGCACAGCCCCTCAGAAAACATAAGCCTAAGTTTTCAAACGGCAAGTAGTACTCATTTGTGGTCAAATGAGTTTGGAAAACATTAGGTTAAAATTTCTTTATTATGAAGCTTTGTAGGACCTTTAACATTCTGTTGAATGATAGGTCATATAGGGCGGGGTGAAGGGTACACGAAGGTTCATAATACTGTTTTTTAGTTTTGTTTTTCTTGGAACTGGGAACTGAACCCAGCAGTGCTCTCCACTGATCCACATCCCCAGCTCTTTTATCTCCCTCCCTCCTTCCCTCCCTCCCTTCCTTTCTTTCTGACAGCTTCTTGTTGCCCAGGTTGGCCTCCTGCCTCAGCCTCCCCAGTAGGAATTACAGGTGTGTGCCATCATACCCAGCACATTATACTATTTTTGTGCATTTTTGAAATTTTCCATAAGATTTTTTAGAAATGTTGTTAATGGGCTGGGGATGAGCTCAGTGGTAGAACACTTGCGGAGTATGTGCAAGGCCCTGGGTTCGATCCCCAGCACTGCAAGAAAAAAAAAATACTGTTGACTACTGTGAGCCTATAGTAGAGGAAGAAATTCAACATATGTTTCTCCTCTCTTGAAAAAGTGTAAGCTATGCCCTACTTGTCCAGAGCTGATCCCCGTGGACATGATCTCAGGCTCTGACCCTTATCCTTTAGAGGTACAATCCTACACTCACTTCTAAGATCACAGAACCCAGAGTTTCAGAAATGAAGACACACATGCCCTCATAGTACACATAATCCCTAAGACCCTGGCCATAGCCTTCTTCAATCCAATTCCCTGACTGCTTAGGTTTTCTGCTTCTCTGACAGATGGCTGCTTCCCTGARTACCATTCCCATGAGGTTCTCTCATCTGCAGCTGGATCCATAAAATTAGGAGGTTAGAGGTTGATTCCCAAGGGCAAGGTGGCAGTGCTGAGGATGAAGATCAAACCAAAAAAGGGCACACAGGCTGAAAATAAACACTTTATATAAAGACATTCTCCTAAGGCAGATGGAACTCCCATTGTGGACCTCTCTGGGACTGCTACCCCAACCCAAGGAGAGTGTTACTAGGGATTAGGTAAGAGACCCATGAGAGGCAGCCTGTAAGCAAACTGACAGATAAAGAAAGTAGACCTGTCAGGCTGGAGTGGGGCCAGAATGGATCCCAGCTCATCCAACTTGGCCTAGAGTCAAGGTGCTGAACTCCTGGCTCCATCGAAGCACAAGGTCCTCACTTTTGGTCAGGGATAAAACAGTGTAAGTTTCATTCTGCAGACATCTCGTGCGGGATACCTACATGGGGATTGTGCATATAATCTGTGACACAGAGCCAGATGCCAGGAATGTGTAGGTGAGGAGGTGTCAGAAGCATCACAAGAACCAGAGGTGGGCAGTAAAAGAGAAGAGGAAACTAAAAAAAAAATTTTTTTTTTTCTGTATGATGGAGGAAATACCAAGTGGCTCAAACCCCTTCTTTTGGAAATCAGGAATCTGAAGCACAGAGGGGCACTTGACTTATCCTAGGCTACCTAGTAAGTAAGGAAGCCAAATTAAAACTCAACATCCAATTTCTAGCCTAGGTGTGATGTCCTCAGTGTCCTCCCCTCGTCTGCACCATCTTCCTCTTGAACCCTTGTGCCTGGGAGGAGGGACTTGCTTAATCCAGGACCAGAGGCCTGGAGGAAGCACCCTGAAGAGGTCCCTGACCTACAGATGCAAGTATAGAAGTGGCTCCCCATAGCCCAACTTCTGGAAGAGGGGAACTCAGAATACACATACATGGTATGGGTGACTGAAGGGCTGACAGGAGGAGGTAGGGGCAGGTTGGGGTGCTCACCTTCCGATTCTGGTTTCTCATCAGACATTGCTGGCTTTTGAAGGAACAGTAGTTTGGATACTGGACATAGTCTGTGTCACAAACCTAAGCCAGGAGCAAGAGAGGGGAATATAAGAAGCCTAACAGAACATCAAACTCCAGGGGATACTGGCAATGGCAGAACGAGGGGCAGGGGTGTGGCTTTTGACAACCAGACCTTGCATACCTGGGATGCATCTCATTGTGCTTTCTGAGGAATAAGCCTCTGTTCCTCTGCCCTTTCCCTCTCACCCTCAGTCACAAGATTGTTAAACAGCATTCAGGAGCTTGGAGAAACAGAATTGGCTGCCCTACTGGTCAGCTTGCTGGGAAACTGACTGAGGAATGGGAATGGACAGATGGGTGGTTCAGGGTCAAGAATATGGGCTAGGGATGTAGGTCAGTGGTAGACTACTTACTTAGTGTTTATGAGGCCCTGTGTTCCACCCCCAGCAACAACAGCAAGAAGTTGTTCAGAACATGGGAAAGGGGACCCAAATAGTGGTCAAAATATCAGGGATCCTTTTGATAATGGTGAGGAGTGAGGAGGATGGTAGAAGAAACTGTTGTGTGACAGTGGGTCAATAACTTTCCTCTTTGGAACTTGCCTCCCATCTATAAATCCAGGGAGCAACTGAGATGATTTCTGAGACTCCTTCCAGGTCTAGAAGTTCAGGGACAAAAGCTAGGCACTTCCCTGAAGCTCAGCACCAGCCTTTTCTCCCCACCACCCACCACCCCCAGTTGCTGTGGATGAAATCCAGAGCCTTGTGCATGTCAGGCAAGCATTCCACCACTGAGTTATACTCCTAACCTCTACCAGCCCTTTCTTAAAATGGTCCTACTTTTCCTTGTCTGGGTTTTTCCTGTCAAACCACAGGAGGGAGTCTCAGCAACTACTGACAATCCTGCTAAGAAGTAACTTTGGGGAGAGGGGAGCCAAATTGCTGTCACTAAGCAGGGAATGCACTGGAAGTGTCAGGGAAGGAGTCTGGCAGGCTAAGACAGGGATCACAGGGCCAAGCAGTATCCTCCATGTCACCTAGTCTTTTATCATAGAGAGGAGTATAACTTTGACTGGATCCCCTATTTCTGTCTCTTGCTTTCTCATCTGGCTGGGTTCCTACTGCTTTGCCAAAAACAATCTTTTGGGGAGGTGTGCTATGGTCTGTTGGAATCAGGTAGGAGGTTCTGTGAGGAACTCAAGCCCCCTTCCATATCCTAGAGCACATACTTACAAGGAACTAGGGCAAAGGGAGGGGTGGGCTAAGCTTTGGGGTAAGGGTCTGACCTTGGTGGGGAAATCCCCATCATGGAAGCTAAGGAACTCAGTCTGGAGCCAGCTGGAGACTCGGACATCTTCACAGCCCTTTGTGGCAAGCCGGGCACACCAGAAGTCCATGCGGAGCCCACCATACAATTCCAGCCCATAAAAGCGGCCTGCTTCTGGGGACCCTACCTGTGGCACAGGAGACAGGCAAGAGGTGCACATCCCTTGCCCTCCTACAGGCCTCCCCACTACAACTTGCCTGGCCAGGTACCTGGGTGCCGACAGACACACCCTGGGCTGTGAGCAAGGGGCTGAGGAAGGGTGTCTTGTGGGAAGTGTCACATTCTTGCCGCCGCAGGTTGTTCTCTGAGTAGCACTGCTCCAGCTTCAGGGAGCAGAAGGCACAGAGGGGACAGATAGATGTATGTCGCCGCCCAAGACTGTCACAGACCTGAGGGAGGAGTAGGAGTGAAAAGCTGAAGCTGGGACTTGGTGGCTTGCTTTTTCCCCAACCTCAGCCCTCCAGAGAGGCCCACAGAATATTTTTGCTTTAAGGCTCTTCTGATAGCTTCTCTGGATTTTCTCCCCATTTTCCTCTCCAAGGACCTTGCCTTAGCTATTTCTTCACCCTTTTCCTGGACGTGGATATGGATGGTTTCTATTCTTGGGTAATTTTCATCTATGTGCAGGTGATACTCCACAAATTTTTTTGTGCTAATAGGGATTGAACCCAGGGGTGCTCTACCACTGAGCTATGTTCCCAGCCCTTTTTGAGAGGCTTTCACTAATTTGCTGAGGATGGCCTCAAACTTGTGATCTTCCTGCCTCAGCCTCCTGAGTCACTGGGATTACAGGTGTGTTCCACTGTGCCTGGCTGATACTCAAATCTTTATCACCAGCTCTGATCTCTTCCCTGAACACAAAATTTTCATTGTCAAGTACATTGGAGAACCGCCAATTGCCCCTAATTTATCTTATCTGAAAAGAACCCATAACCATCTTCCATTCTCTGCTAATGATAATGCTAATATTTGCAGAGAGGTGACAGTGTTTTGGTACTATCTATATAGTCTCATTTGTCTTCTGAAGAACCCTGTACCAATACTATTTCTCATTCACTGATAAAGAAACTGAGGCTTTCTTTATAAGTAATTGTTAGATTCAGTACATTGTTCAAAGCCACATGTCTAACAAAAGATGAAGTTGGGACATGGATCTAGGTCCTTCTAACTCTATAACCTATGCTCTACAAAACACCTAGGTTTGAAACCTTCAGGTTTTTGGAAGATCTTCTCAAAGTGGAGTTACCCATCTCCTAGCTGGACTCTATCCTGATTGAGCTTCCTCATCACTACAGAGGGATCTTGCTAAGCAGTATCTTCAGTCAATTCCATCATCCTCCTTTCTCACCAGTGGGTACAGCTTGTAAAGGTGTATGGAATTTCTTATATCACCTGCTTACTCTTTACAGAGGCACATAAGGGCAGCATCAAGTCCCTGACCCAAAATCTGCATTAAATTCCCCCTGCCTACAAAATTAAATACAAATGCTAAGACTGCCATTTAAGACTTTTAACATGTGTCTCCCTTTGCTCTGCTGCAAGTAAAATGCACTCTGCTGCACTCTTATCCAACTCCTTCAGAGAGTTTCTTTCATGACTCCGAACTTTCCACCCCCTCGAAATCCTGCCAGGCTGCTACTGGGTAATAAAGCCAGGGGCATTCCATCACCAAGCTATATCCCTAGTCATTTTTATTTTTTGAGACAGGGTCTCACCAAGTTGCCAAGGCTGGCCTTGAACTTGCAATGCTCCTCCTCAGCCTCTGAAGTAGCTGGGATTACAGGTGTGCACCACTGTGCTTGGCTCCCCCCTGAATTCCTGATAAATTTTTAAAAACCTCTAACTCCTTGTACCCTCCTTCTATAGGATGAATCTCCTTCCTGGGCTCTCAGCCTCTTAAAAGAAACCGTATGCTCATTCTGAGTCTGGAGATTTCCAGTTGCCTCAGAGCCTTTACCCATACTATACCATTTACCAGGAACCTTCCCTGGAGCTCCTTCTTTGCCTGGTTAACTTCTCTTGTCTCAGAGGAACAGATGTTAATCAGATTAACATCTGTTCCTCTGAAAAAGCACTCTCTAATCCTTCCAAACATGGAGAATCTGTCCCTCCATCCCATCTGTTCTCTGCACTTTGTTCTTATCCCTATTACTGATGTCTAGCCTGCCTGTTTCCTCATCTTTCTTTCCTACTAGATTCCAAGAAGACAAAGCATTGGATCTACTGCAACTCAGTTACCTAATACTGAGTGCTCAGTCAGTATTTGTTAAACAAATAGATGAATGCATAATATAGTGTCTCTCAAATATCTGCTAAGTTGTATTATTTGAAAATAGTAGTGCCAGGTGTGTTGGTACATGCCTGTAATACCAGTTACTCCAAAGGCTGAGGTAGGAGGATGACAAGTTCAAGGCCAGCCTTGGCAATTAGGCTCAAAATTAAAATAAATAAATAAACAAACAAACAAACAAATAAATAAAGGGCAGGGGAGTAGCTCAGTGTCAAAGCCCCTACTTCAAGTTCAGTCTCCAGTATTAAAGAAAAAAAGATGACTCAATCTAGGAGCTGAGTGCAATGGCATGCACATATAGTCAGATACTCAGGAGGCTGAGATGGGAGGATCACTTGAGCTCAGGAGTTTCATACTAGCCTGAACAATTTCATCTTGAAAGAAAGGAAAACCTAAAGTATATTTCCTGGGAACAAACTTGCTGCATGTGTTTTTTTTTTTTTTTTTTTTCTGGGAATTAAACCCATACAGGGCTTTGTGTATGCAAGGCAAGCACTCTTATCAACTGAGCTATATCCCCAGGCCTAGACTTGCTATATTTGGAAAATATTGTGAGACTATAATCCTTTTACAGATTCCCTGGAATAGATTCTATGAACCTTTTGGAAAGGAGAGCTGCATCAGGTGCAACTAGGTATTGAAAATGGTGAACAGGATCAAGAGATGACTCAGAGCCTAACAAGTTAGTGGGCTGGAGGATGAATTCCAGACTAGGACCAAAGCCTTCCTCCTTGAAGATGGACTGACATGCTTCCAAAGGAGGAAGTCCTGCTTGGATAGAATCTCCACTACTATGCCTCATGTTTTCCTTGCTCATTCCCCTCTCCCATGGCCTCATGTAGTGCCAGACCCAAGGATGCCTAGTGGTACATATCCATTAAACAGCATGGCAGGCATACCGTCTTCCCGAAACCAAGGATCTCCTCCTCTAGGTACTTCCAGGCCTTGGCTGTGGGGGTCATGATGCAGGTATTCTCCACAATTGAATAGCACAATATCAGCAAGGACTCTGTGTGGGGTAGTTGCAGGAGGCTGCAAGAAGACAGTACTGACTGGTGGGGATGAGCTGGAAGGCTGGAGCAGAAAGACATATCTACTCTCTTGCCCTCCCCTGAGCATCTGTTTTTTTTTTTTTTACTAGGGATTGAACCCACAGGCTTTCTATCACTGAGCTACATCCCTAGCCCTTTTTATTTTTTTGAGACAAGGGTTTCACTGGCCATCCTCCTGTCTCAACCTCCCGAGTTGCTGGGATTACAGGCATGAACCACCATGCCCGGCACGGTTATCCTTTGTCATATACCTTCAGCATGCTTATCATGGGGCCTTTAGTATGGGGCCTGAGAAGCCTCGGGTCAATTACCTCCTTTTACAAATGAGAAACTGAGGTCCAGAATGGAGGAATAACTTTCTCACTGTTAGAATGCTAATCAGGGTCAGAGACAAGACCAAAACCCAAGCCTGGTAGCTCCAGGTTCAGGGCTCATTGTCCCACATCATGTAGAGAATGAGCACCTAGGTCAGGGATTAAGCCAAGGATAGGCATAGCAGTTGCTAGTTGTGCCTGAAGTGCAGGTAGGTCTGAGTGGGTTTGCAGGTCGGAGCTGGGAAAGTGAGCTTCTTGTTTTCAAAGAAGGCAGCAGGGATGTCAGGGCCCATGAGGGAGTCACAACTTCCTGTACCTGCCAGGGTTTTGACTTCTGCTCCAGTAGACATCCTCATCATATATTTCATTCATTTCATCTATTTCTTGTGCTGATTGAGTGACCTCTTGGGTGTTCTCCATGACAGGAGCAGGTTCTGCTTCTCGGACTCGGGGAGTAAAGGAGGGAGGGTTGGAAGACAAAGATTCAGACAGAAACTTAGCCTCTGCATTAGCCTGCAAACTAGACACTGTCTCAAGTCCCTCTTCTGTCCCCTGCTCCTCTTCCTGCTTTCCCTCCTCCTCTTGTTCCTCCTCTTGCTCTTCTTGCTCCTGCTCTTCCTCCTGCTTTTGTTCTTGCATTTGCTCTTTTTTGTGTTGCTCCAGTCTGTGTTCCTGCTTGTGATCAGGCAGTTGCTCTTGGCCTCCCAGGGACAAGGAGGATTGGAGCAGCTCCTCCACGTTGTTGTTCAGCCGCTCAGGCCAGGGCTGGAAGGCCTGCCGTTCTGTGGCTACCACAGGGTTTGGGAGGAACCAAAAAAGAGAAGAGAAAGAGACAGGCTTTTGGCACCTAAGTGTATGTTCACACATAAACACAAGGACAGTAAATGTAGACTAAAATTACATTTACCTACATAGTTAAGTATAAAAAACAAAAAATGAATATGAATATCAAAACGAAATATATTTCCATGGCAAATGTTGTGTTGGTGGTATGTGTCATACCTCTCTTATAGTGCTCTTCTTCCCTACCTCCCACCTCAAATGCAACTTTTTTTTCTCTCTCTCCCTAGGGAACAAAAAATATTCCAAGTAACTAGAAACTAATGCTTTCTACTGGTGCTGGGAATTGAACACAGAGCCTCATGCATGCTAAGCACATGCTCTACCACTGAGTTACACCCCCAGTCCTAATCCTTTCTAAAATTAAGATGTTAGATTATAAAAGGTCCAGAGAAGTTCCAATGCTGGAAACTAGGAAAAATGGATTCAGGGTAGGACTGTAAATAATGGCAGAAGATATTCTGGGGCAGAAGAGCCATATCTGTATTCATAAATTCCTATTCTCCCTGTTCAACATTCTTCCCCTTCCCTATTACCAGTGACCTACATCCTGGCTCTGGAAGTTGTGGTAGGGTCTCACCTGTGATATGAGATAAAAATGGGGAGGTCATGGTGGTGGGTGCGACTTCTGCTGCAACCTCTACCTCCTTGTAAGTATTAGGTGAGAGAATGGATACTGGCTGGGAACACCGAACTCTCTGCAGGGAGAGAAGGAAAATGGGAAAGCCTTTCCCAAGGGCAGACTTCTGCTCTAGTGAATTGATCAGTCCCTTTCCCAGGATGGCTCATCCCTCATAGATCCTGGGAAAGGATGAAGGAACATGATCTTTGCTGGAACCCTCTAGTCCTGAGAAAGGGTCTCTCTGGAAGATAGTCTTTTTGTGTGGGTCATACTCCTGCCTCACTCTTCTGCTGTTGACTAGAATAAAATCACTGACCTATTAGAAGAAATGGAAGGGCTTGTCTCTGCCTCTTCCCATCCCTCTTCCCTACTTTTCTTGAAGTAACAGGGTTTTTAGATAGTATGAATGTCCAGGTGAGACTATTCATATATAATCTGAGCAAATGACTGGCAAAATGGCAGAGAGGAAGGATCTAAGGAGGATGTGTTGGAGCCCTTCCTCAACTCCCCATTTCCACTCCCTTGGCCCTGGAGTTATCATATCCAACCTTTCTCCTGGGCCTCACCTTGGCATAGTAGACATGGTTGGAGCAGCGATACTGAGTAAACTGGCAGAACGACTCAAACCAGGAGGCATAAGGAAGGTCGGAGCAGACAGCGCCTGAGAAGGGGCAGGAGTGGAGAAGGTGAACACACAGAGGGAAGGCCCTCTGGGGAAGGCCTGGGAGAGTACAGTAGGAGACTCTGGGTTAGAGGCTGGCCATACCCTCCCGCTATCTCACATGAGCACAGGACTTCTGCCCTGGGCTTGGGTGAATTCTGGGTGTCTTGGTTTCCCCTATCTCACGTGAGTACAGGACTTCTGCCCTGGGCTTGGGTGAATTCTGGGTGTCTTGGTTTCCCCTCACCATCCGGCACCAAGCCGTGGTTTTCATATTGATCCAGCTGGACCAGAGTGGGGTTTCGGCAGCCATGGGTCGCACGAAGACGGCAGGTAGTCTCTGCCTTCCAGGTTGGGGTCAGCAGAGCAAAGAAGCGTTCATATTCGCTGGGGGAGAGAGGACTGCCTGGAGTAGAGGCTGAAGTTGACTCCTGGGCTGGGGCAGGTGCCAGAGGCAGGAGCAGCACTGAGGAGTAGGGTAAAATGGTTGGACACACAGCAACCCCAAACCCACTCCAGACCCAGGCAAATTAGGAACCGGGATGATCCTGCGGGTTCCCACTGAGAAGGATAAGGAAATTCTAGAGACAGGGGGGAGATCGGGAAGGATGTCAGAAGCAAGGGAGCGGACTCAAATCACCATGATAAAGCGTCTCAGAAACCATAAAAAAAATGACTCTCAGGCAGTAGAGGGCGAGGGCTGAGCTCAGGGAGGACCACGCTATTAGAACAGGTGGGAACCTCTCACCCTTCAGGAGAGAGAGAAGGAGGCCATCAGACAGTTTTGTCATGGCCCCGGAAGATCCGACCGTGTTTCCTGGCCTCTAACCGGCTAAGCCACAGACAGCGGTGGTGGCGCGGGATGGCGCGCAAGAGTGCAGGTGAGGCCCTACGTCACAAAGGCGGGGCCGCCGCGGGGGGGGGGGGGCAGGGGCGGAGCCAAGAGCCCAAATGGCCAAGTGGCTGGAGGGCATCGCTCAGGTCAGGGCAAATCCAGCAGAACAGTGAAGGCCACCATTCATGTTCTATCTTCGATGAGGCCTGTTGTTCTTGATTACCTCATTTAATCTCCACAGTAAACCCAGAAGGTGGATCTATTATGATCCTTATTTTACATGCAGGGAAATCAGGGTTTAGAGAAGCAATTTGTCCAGATGGTGGAGAGACCTAGATGTGAGCATAGGCAGGGTTCTGTGGCTGGCAGTGATGGAATGTCCAAAACAAAGGGTAGGAGATAGAGGATGCCTCCAGGTAAGATATAGGTCAAAAGGGAAAACAAGAGAAGGGTTCACAGGAGGGAGTGCTCGGGTATAAAGATGTCTCTGAAGCTCTAGGAAATGGATGCCAAGAGGGAGATGAGCAACACAATCCATTAAGGTATGGGAGGAAAATATCTGATGCTCAATGTTTAAAATAAGAAATCAAGCTAATATTTACTATAGTAGTACACATGTATAACACAAATACATCATTTATTGGAAATTAAGTAAAAAGATGTCTTATGGAGAAAAGATGCACAATTTACAAAGTTCTGAGTCACACCCTCCAGCCAGTGTTGCCTTCCCCAGGTTGAGAAGCTGTAGATGCTGGTGCACAATATTAATTCAGATTTCTTGTCCTAATTCTGGGATGTCATCCTCCCACCTCTCATCCAACCCAGAGGGTGCAAAAAAGAATGCTTAGCACATGTACTGAAATAGTGTCTCTCCAATAAACACAGCAGGCCAACACGTTTAGCTTTTATTTACCTATCCAGGCTCCTTTTACATGTGAGTTATCTGCATTCCACCTTGCCCCCTCTCCCATTCAAGGTCAGGATGAATCCCCTTGGCATAGAGGATGGGTGCCCCTTCAATGAGGGCCACAGCCCAAATGATCCAGGGCATCCCCACCATGAAAAAACAGGAAGAGAATGGAGAAGAGAGTTCATACCTAGCTCCCCACAGGGTAGCAGGAGGAGGATTAAGGGAGCCAGAGGAGTGCCCTATGCTACTTCCCCAGTCCTCAAATACAAAGCAAGGGAAATCAAGAGGACCCTTCCTCTGAAATACAGCACCAACCTCAGCATGGAGGCAAAAGGACAGTGGGCAAGCTTACTTCCCAACCAGGGGGAGGGCAGAATGAGAACACATACCGTTAGTGGTTGCGGCACCCCTCCCTACCAGGGTTTGAATGCAGCCTCAGCACCGGGAATGGGGAAGGGGAGGAGAAGGGATGACGATACCGCACCATCCACTTCTCCCTGAACCCCCTGGCCCCAATACAGGCATTCCTCTGCCCACTAGCCCAGATCAGGGGATGTTGAAGAAATTGTGTTGGAATCCAAGGCCCTTATCTATTTCTTCTTCCGTTCTTGGGAACAGCGTGGGCAAAACCTAGAAAGCAAAAACAAAGAGATGGGTGGGGGAAAAGTGAGTGAAGGGGAAAGTACCCTATGCCATCTAGCTTTGCAATAGTCCAGTTAGGCTGCAACTTACCATTTCCCCCGAGGCTTGGTTGTCAGTCCCACACAGGCGAAGTGGAACCACTCAATGGAACACTGGAAAAGGAAGATGCAGTAGTTAGGAGCCTGGGTGGTGGAAAGAAAGCCCTCATAAAGATTCTTTAGGAGTGTACATATATCCCATCCCTTTGGAGACTTTCTGGAAGGCACATGGCCACCCATATCCATTGTTTTTTGTTTTTAATATTTATTTTTTAGTTGTAGTTGGACACAATATCTTTATTTTATTTATTTATTTTTATGTGGTGCTGAAGTTTGAACCCAGGGCCTCACATGTGCTAGGTGAGCACTCTACCGCTGAGCCACAATCCCAGCCCCTCATTTTTTTTTTTAAAAACAGAATATTTATTTATTTAAATTTTTTTTGAGAATTTTAATATTTATTTTTTAGTTTTTGGCGGACACAACATCTTTGTATGTGGTGCTGAGGATCGAACCCGGGCCGCACGCATGCCAGGCAAGCGCACTACCGCTTGAGCCACATCCCCAGCCCCAAGCCCCTCATTTTTTGTTTTTGTTTTTGAGACTGGGTCTTACTGTGTTGCCCAGGCAATCCCTGAACTCCTGGGCTCAAGTGATCCTTGTGCTTCAGCCTCCTAAGTAGCTAGGATTACAGATGCATGCCACCATATCCTACTTTCAGCCATTGTCCTTCATTCTGAAGTCCCATTCTTTAATCATGGCTCCCCCATTTTAAACCCACTCCTTTCATGTCCCTCAGAACCCCACATCCTGAGGTAAAAGGTTCTCACATCAGGGTTGTCACAGCCAATCATCTCTCCATAGGAGACCTGGTGACAAAGGCAATAGGTGGGTTCGTTGGGATCCACAGGCATATCCAACACATCAGAGGGATGGACACTGCCAAAGGTCACTGAGGGCATCCCATACTCAGGACTTCTGTATGCCAAGAGGAAGAGAAATTGTCATTTGCAGGAAGGGAAGCTAGGACCTAAGGCTCTGAGGCGGTAGAAGGAAATCCTGGTGGGGCTTCTCCTCTCCATCCAGCAGATACCAAAGTGATGAGAAGAGTTATTAACAGAAAATAGGAAAAATGGCAAAGGGCAGTGCAGTGTAGGGTGAGAGTGATATGTCAGGAGAGAAGAGGATGTTACTTGGCGAAGAGTATGTCATCTGAAACACTCACGTGCGCACAAGTTTTAACTTCTTCTGGGCAGCCTTGGGTGCTTCTTCATCTGAGTTTTTCCCTTTGGAACGTGCACGGGCAGCTTTCTTCTCCTTTTGAGTCCGGCCTTCTAGGGAAGAGGGGGAAAGCCAGAAGGCAGGGAGATAGAAAGATGGGTTAAGTCCTCTTTCTTCCTCTTCTTTGCAACTTGGTATTCCTCCCTCATAGGTGAAGAGCAGATCTCTTCTCCCTCAGAGTCCTCACCCACTCTCACAGCCCCGCCCCCCTCCTCACTCTTTTTGCCTTTGCTAGAAGAGCTGTCATAGTCACTTGACTCGATCTGTTTCTCCTTCAAATCAGCCTCAAAACGGGCCAGGTCTGTGTCCAGTCGCCGAATGTGTTTGTCAACCTGGGAGAGAAGGAAGGAGAAGGGAGAGATATAAGCCTGGTTCTAAGTAAAGAAAAACAGGCTAAGGTAAAATCTATGGATCTCCCAGATCCAAAACAGATTCTGACAGCTGAAGGAGGAGTCTAAGACCCCAAAGATTAGATGGGAGGTAGTGGGGAGCCATGAACAGGGCCATACCATCTCATAGGTCTGCATGGCAAGCTGCACCTTGTCGTCACCAAATTCCTTGCACTTGCCATAGGCTTCCTGGATCTGTCTGAGAAGAGCCAATTTTTCCTCGGAGCTCAGGTTGCGGGCGCTACTCATATACTCAGTGGCCAACTTGTCAATTTCAGCCTTCAGGTCTACAACAGAGACAGAGGCCTGGTCACAATGGCTCCTGGGCGGCTAGATGAAACACACTTCTTGCTCTTGTTCCTTGGACTTTTTCCATTGACCATCATGACCTTTGAAATAAAACCTACTGAATGTTCACAGGAACTGTGCCATGTACTCATATCAACACTATTTGTTTTAAAGATGCCTTCAAGGTGTTGACAACATTGCTAGCATAGTTGGAACTTAAATTATTGCGATATATTGGGGGATTCTTTGCATACCACATTAATATGAAGTATATTTTTGTTGATGTTTGTAAATGCTTCTTTGCAGAGCTTGCTGCTTCTTTATCCATGAATGTCATTCCAAAGACTGCCTTGTTTATTGTCTCACAAGCATCCCTCAGAAGCTCTGACAGTAGCAAACTAGGCTAGGTCATCTGTTGCTCTGGCTTTTAGTTCTCACAATTTAAAATTAGGCCCTCTCTCTTCTGCTTGCTTATTGTCCACATATTTTGCTGCTCATTTGCAACTTGCTTATATTTTCCATTACTTTGTTCCTGTTTGTCCATCTTAGATATTTCTCCAAACAGTTTGAAAAGGTAGTGATATCCCAGGACACTAACTGAAGATGTCTACTCCCTAATGTATGATAGGGCTCAGAAAAAAGTCTGACTTTGTAACACCATACAGCTGTGTTAACACAGGTATCGGGGAAGATCTGCAAACATACTATGTTTACGTTCTACTTCATTCCAGGCCTTTGAAAGCAGCTTTAAAAAAAGCATAAAGTTCCATAATCTCCAGCTGGTTTTTTGCATGAACTGAAGAGTCAGAACTGTATAAATTAGATTCTCATCATTTGGCAAGCAGTTCTCACAGGTTGATGTCCAAGATTTTAAATGATGCTCACATTTTCATGAGTAAACTTAGCAAAGCAATTTAAAACACAGCTTCACGTAACCTAACACCAGCTTATTACATCCTTGAGCATGAATACAAAGGATGGAAGGTAAAAGCTATGTATCCTTCAATGGGTATGGCGATAGCTCCAATAGACATCTTGGATCTTGAAGAGACCAACTTGATAACTGTAGTGTAGCTTCCCTCAGGCTCCAGTAACTGCCTCAATATAGCCAAATATCCTCAATGTCAAGGCTGAAGATGTTATCTATTGCTTCTGTAAGATTGAAGAATACAGTGTAGCATCCTGATGTTAACTGCTTCTTCTCTTTTGTCTTTCACTCTCTTTTTAAGAACTTCTCATACAACAGAGCTCCTGTCTACAGACATGAAATGTAATCTTAAACCAATGTAAATTTTGTGAGAATAACATTAACAGGGAAGCAGAAACACTATAGTTATCCTATAAGTATATTGGACACATACAGCAGAAGTGATGCTAGAATCAATTTTGGTTTCTTGAATTCTTCTTGAGGTGTAGATATAAAGAAAATAGCATCTCTTGAGTTCTTGAGGTCTTGTCTCAATACTTCATTTGTTATGGAAAAGTGATATAGAAATGAGGATTAATAACCTCTTTTAAGAATTCCAAGAGAGTTTTTAAAAAACTCATAGTTCTCCAAATCACACCAGATGACGTGGTAATAGCAAGTAGGAAAATAAATGATTACACACACTCATCATACATAAGAACTGCTTACTCTTTACTTACCCTCTGTTCTTTGGTCAAGGTCCCTCATAAGTTGAAAGTTTCTCTGTAATTCAAATGGGAGGTTTTCAATACCTAGAGAATAGAGAGAAACATAATTACTGGACTATGCACAGATCTTGGCAAGAGCTCTACCACTGAGCCACACCCCTAGCCCCCATATTTACAATTTGTGTGTGTTTATGTTTACATGTATGGGGATGGGGATGGGGATGGAATCCTGTGTTTTGGACATACTAAGCATGTAATTCTTACCACTATGCCACAACCTCAGCCCTTTATACACATCTTTTTAAAGTGCAATTCCATCTACCCTAATTTGAACCTCTGGATTTGTGACAGCATTCATAGTTCCTTTCTTTCAAGAGTCATATTCACTTCTCTCTCCTCCCAACTATTTCTCCACCTCTGCACAACTATCCCATGCTTCTCTTCAGTGACTTTAGAAATCAGCCTTTCCCTTTCCTCTATTTTTTAATCTCTGTCTCCAAGCATCTTGCCCTCAACTTACAAATAACATCATGATATTCTCTACTACTCATCACAGATAATCCAATCAATTTTCTATAGGGTAGACCAAATGTTCTTTTAAAGAACAGAAACCAGTGATAGAGTGCTTAGGTAGCATGCATGAGGTCCTGGTTTTCATTCCCAGCACTGCAAAAATAAAATAAAAATTAAAAAAGCAAACCAGTGCATGTCTGTAATCCCAGCTACATAAGAAGTGGAGGTAGGAGGACCAAGAATTTGAGGCCACCTGGGCAAAATAGTGAGATTCCATCTTTAAAGAAAAGCAAACCCAATCAAGTCACTCTCCTGCTTATAACCTTCCAGTAACTTCCTTTATTTTTTGGTACTGGGGACTGAATCCAGGGATACTTTTACCACTGAGCTACATCCCAAGCTCTTTTTATTTTGAGATAGGGTCTCTCCAAGTTGCTGAGGCTAGCCTTGAACCTGTGGTTTGTTCTGACTTAACCTCCTGAGACAATGGGATATAGGCATGTGTACCACACCTGGCAACCTTGCAGGAACTTCCCATTGCTGGTTGGATGTTCTACACTTTCTAGCCCCTGCTTAACTCACACCAGTCATGTCAGTTTTTTCTTCTGCTCCAATCATATTGGCCTTTTCTGAGAGCCTCAACTTGCCAGCAGCATTCCAAAAGCTATCTTCTTTCCCTGGAATGCCTAGTCTTCCTCATTCCACTTCATCTCTTTGCCTACTAAATTTGTAAGTTTTTCTAAACTCAGCTCAAACCTAACTTTCCTAGACTTTTGACAAGTGCCCGATATATAGGCTATGAAGGTAGCCCATCTTTACCTTTTTTAGTGCTTATCCAACTGTAATTAAATAATTGTGTAATTAGTTATTTGGTGTCTGTCTCCTTAGCCCTTCAAGAGGATGAAAACACGTATCTTATTTTCTTCCATTTCCCTAGCCTTTACAAGTATAACTTGAATACAAAAGGTACTCAGTGAATACTTGAATAAATGAATGAAAATATTTAAGCCTTTCCCATACAAGAAAAATCTCTTCCCATGACTCCACCTAAACTTTTTTTTTTCCCCATGCTGGGGATCAAACCCAGAGCTTATTCGTGCTAGGCAAGTTCTCTACCACTGAGTTACATCCCCAGCCCTTTAAAAAATTTGTTTCCCTTTTTGAGACAGAGTCTTGCTAAGTTGCTTAAGGCCTCTCTAAATTGCTGAGGCTGGACTCAAACTTGAGATCCTCTTGCCCCAGCCTCCCAAGTCATTGAGATTACAGGCATGTATCACCATGCTTGGCCATACGCTACTTTAAAATGCAAACTTGTTAGCTTGCCTTAAAAGACTTTGTCCAGCTGGAACATTGGCACACACCTGTAATCCCAGTGGCTCAGGAGGCTGAGGTGGGGCATCACAAGTTCAAAGCCAGCCTCAGCAACTTAGAGAGGCCCTAAGCAACTTACTTAGCAAGACCCTGTCTCAAAATAAAATACAAAAAAAAAAAAAAAAAAAAAAAAGGGCTGGGGATGTGGTCAGTGGTTAAGTGACCCTGGATTCAATCTCCAGTACAAAATAAAAAGACTTTGTCCAATCTAGCACCAGTGTCTTTCCAGTTTCACTTCCTTAACTCTCACCTTAAAGTCATATATATCAAATATTATGAACTCAGTTTACCTAACCTAGCCACAAACCTATCACAATACCTGTGCTGATGCTTTCCCCAACCTGGAACTCCCTTTCTCTTTCCACACAAGCAAGTAAGCACTTATCCTTAAGACCCTATAAATATATGTCAGTAAAGCTTTACCTATATCCCCAGGTAATCAGCCCCTCTCTCAGGTAATCAGTGTTGCCAACTGTCCTTTAAATCTACCCCCAATATTTTGCTTGTCAAACTTTTAAAATTATTTATTTGCATAATCTGTTTCTTACTAGTTTGTGAGCTTCTTGAGGGCAGAGGAATGTGTCTTACCTATTTTCTTATATCCCCATTGTCAAAGCATTATGTTTCTCAATAAATTTGTTGAATGAATGACTCTCAACACTAAAACGTTAATTACACAGGGTGACAGGATTTGTGAAAGCACAGCTTACACAAATGGGGTAAACACCACCAGATTTTCATTTGATAGGAATTGGATTTGTATTCAGTGAGAAAAAGCGGTCCAGTTTATCATCAGATAGTGGTCGCTCATGCCCACCCCGCTATGAGATGCTACTTCTGAGAAAGAACAGATTGCATAAGACTTAAGCAAAGTCTTTGCCGCTACCCCCAAATGACAATGGTGATACCGATTCTGAACGACTTCGGCGGAAAAAACCTACCGAGATTTGAGACCCTGAAAAATAGGGGTACCAAAAAATTTCCCTGCTATGCCTACAAGCCCTTCAAGACCCACGACCTTGGGCCCCATCGCGCAGCCCCTCCCAGGTTTACACCCAACAGCGAGGCCTCGAGCCTACTGCCCCGCCCCCTCTTTCTTCACACCCTCCAATATTTCCTCCCACAGATCCCCTTCATAATTGTGACGACCTCGGTATCAGGACTTCGGGGCCATAGATTCTCTCAGCCCCTGATCCCCCCACCACTCTATGACCCCTGACCCCCTCCTCCAGACTGCTCTTACTGTCCAGATAATGTTCCAAATACATCCCCGCAGCCATCTTGAAGCAAAACAAAGCAACTTCCGATACGCCCCGGAAGTGACTGAAACGCGACAGGCGCTGCCTCTAATCTTGGTTTAAGAAACTCTCCGTCCTTAAAACAACTTCCGCCCTTACCCGAGAGGACATATCCGCCTGACGTTGAAACTTTTCCTTTTGCGTGAGGAGTCACGACCTCCCACAGCGAGGCTGCTGTTGTTCACTTCCGCCCTGAGACTCGGGTGCGCGACCGAGACAGTATGACGTCATGGGAGATCGCCATTTTGCATTTTCTAGCAACTTTTTATTTTCCCTCCAAAACGAGAATGTGTGGTAATAGGGGGAAAAGACGGTTCTCTTTAGGATCGTATTCTGTATATATCTTTTCAGCAACTTGGGAAGTTCAACTTATTTTACTTTTGCAGATTACGAATCTGGTGACCAAAGCAGTTTCCAAGATTTTCTCCAAGGCAGTGCGTTTCTTAAGAAGCTTTGGAGGAGTCATCAGGCCTTGTGTGATTTAAACCCTCTGCATTCCTGCTCATTTACATGAATATCATCTTTTAGGTTATTGTTATTGTGGCGCCGGGCACGGAACCCAGGGCTTCGCCCATGCTAAGCAGGTGCTTTACCACGGAGCTATATCTGCATTTTTTAGTTGAGAAAGATTCATAATTACAAATAAAGCTATAATTCTGTACACTTTTTGTCAGGGCTCTCTTGCCACTTTTTCAATTGGGGAGATCCCTATTTTTGTCGTTGCCCCCACCCCTCCGCCGCCGTTTTGGGTGATGGTAGGATTCAAGCTCAGTGCTTTGCACATGGTAAGCAAATATTCTACCACTGAGCCACAACCCCAGCCCCTAATTTCCCTTTCATTTTAATTTCTACATAGTAATTATTAAGGGATTGGGAAACAGAGTTTTATTACAACTCAGATGGCAGCCATCCTAGTAAGCTAACTATAAAGAACACAATTATTATTTTCATCGCAATCAAAAGCAATCTAGAGGGCATGACAGGCTGCTATCACACTGAGGAGTCAAAATTCAAAGCCCATATGCCAAGTTGTGTAAGGTAGTATCTTAGACAAAGGTGTCACCCCGAAATTACATTTCCTTCATAATGACATTACATGGCAGGTTTTTTTTTTTTTTTCTTTTGCAGCGGGGCGTAGGGGGGTTGAAGTCAGGGGCCCTCGACCTCTGAGCCATATCCCCAGCCCTCTTGTATTTAGAGACAGGGTCTCAGAGTTGCTTAGAGCGCACTTTTGCTGAGGCTGGCTTTGAACTCACAATCCTGCCTCAACCTCGAGCTGCTGGGATTACAGGTGTGTGCCATTGCACCCAACGCTGCAGGCTTTTAATATGACGATTTTCAGCCACACAATTTAGACCAAATATGTGAAGAAGGGTGAGATTTACTAGTGAGCAGGCACTAAGATAACAGCAATCTAAATACGTCATTCTGTCATGCTCTTCAATAATTTAATCTCTGTGCCTATTTACTTCTCTATACAATGCCATAGTACCTACTTCATTCGGTCATTGCAGAGTGGGTGAGGGATGAGTTTTTAGAGTAGATTCTAGTTCCAATACTGGTGAAAATAGGGCTGTCAGGAGCTTCTCTAATAAACAGTGGCATGTTTGGTTATATGTAAAACATTCATTAGTGTCAATCTGCATATTGAGACACTATCTTGAATGCTCAATCCCAAAGTTAAGTGGGGATTATTTATTTATATCCCAGTACTTAACGAGTACTGTGGGCCAGCAGACACAGACACCACCGGTTCTCAGACATGGGAGCTTGGTCATTTTTTCAGTACTTTAAGAAAGGAAACTAAAACGTTTTCAGAAAGTATTCTTGGAAGTTATCTAACTCAATACTGGTCAATAGTAGAGTCTGTGTGGGAAGTCCAGATGATTTCCTACTCCCCAATGCTATTAACCCTCCTTCATTGTGAGGTGTATTGATAACCACTATATTATGGACACTCAATTGTGTTTTATACTGTTCATCATATATACCCATTAACTTGTTATGGTTCCCACTACTACAAACCTCTGGTTTTTGGTGTCACAGAGCAACTGGGGAGTTACAGGTCCACTCAAGGTCTTGCTTCCATTTTTTTTAGATAGGGAACAGAGATGTTAACACATAACTGAAATCTTGTTCTTATCTATTTAGAGGATGCAATTCTCATGACAGATCTTCATAAGCAAAGATTCCACTTGAATAAAACCAAACCTTTCTGAAGCAGTGGAATCTCACACATGGAGCCTCAGCACACAAGTATTCATTTTTCACACACTATGGAGTAAATCCTTAGTACTGCCCTTGAACAATTCCCCAAATACTTTTTTCATACTCGCTCACTCACACCAGTAGCTCCACTCACTGCCTCTGATCCTTTTACATGAATTTATTTCTATACAATGTTCTAAAAACATCCCTTGGTTTGTACACAAGGTTTTTTTTTTTTTTTTTCATTTTTAAATTGCTTTATAACAACTGGTTTCCTGATTTTTTAAGTGTTCTTCTTTCTGAAATCTGTCATGATTTAAAAAAACAAAAAACAAAGTTAAATGAAAATAAAAATGCTGTGGCCAGAGGACAGGGTGGAGGGGGAAAAAAAAGACAAAAATAAACAAAACATCAAATATGAAAATTCTCAGAGATAATGCATTTATAAACACAGAAATGGTTACAACAAAGATGGCCGTGATGAGCGGGTATATATATATTTATATATATATATTTATATATAAATCCATGTCCGGCGTCTGATCGTGGCACCTAGGGAGCTAAGTCCAGTCCTTTTGTCTACCCTGAACACTCCCTTCTCTGCAACACATTTGTTCTGGGGGTTTCACAGAGAACACAAAGTTCTCATAGATCCTTGGGGGATCAGATAGGGAGACAGAGTACAGGGCCTTGACCACCTGGGAAATCTCTGGCCCTTGGGGATCACATCTAAGCCCTTGCCCCCTTACAAATAAAAGGAGGTCTAATCCCCACCCAAATCATCTTCTACCAGCAGTAGGTAGGAAGTGAAGTGAGACCATGTAGAAGAAAATGGCTCTCAGGGGTTGGGGCACACAAAACAAACAAACAAACAAAAAAAACACCTCTATTCTTTTGCAGGCAAGCATAGGACAGGAGGCTGGTTGCATCTGGAGCTCCCTTCTCTTTGTTATCTGGAGAACCAGCCTCTAGTCTTCTTTTAGCCTGAACTTGGAGGATGAGGGAGAGGGTAAGTGCCCACACCAGACAAGTTTCTGTGAGGTCACAGCAAATCCTTCCCTTGAGCACCAACCCCCAACTTTAAAAGCTTTGCTTGGGAGGGGGCTGCTGGATGACACAATCAGCTCAGTATCCTTTGCAAATCAGGAGGGCTGATGTTCCTTTTGAAGAAGAGTTGAAAATAATGATGGTATCTTGTAAAGGAAAGCTGTGCCTGAGGCCCAAGGAGATGGTGCCAAGGCTTGTCCCAGAAGAAAAGGACTTTTCCCAAGAGGAGTTGRAGAAAGAGACCAGAACTTCTTTCTCCTATTCCCAATGGGTGGCAGCACGGATCTCTAAGAGCTGGCCAGGTGCTCCACCTGGATGGTGCTGGTGGTGACAGTGAGACAGATGTCCTTATGATGCTCCGCCGTCTTATAGGGGGTCAGGTCAAAGGAACACTGGGGTGGAGGGTTGGGGTTGCTRTCCCCACCACCCCCACCCTGGGGGGCTGCCCCAGGGGACTGGAAGTGTGGTGGCTGTGGCTGCTGTGGCTGCTGTTGCTGCTGCTGTGATGCCTGGGAGGCTTGGGCTTGGGCTTGGGCTTGGGCTTGGGCCTGGGCCTGGGCCTGGGCCTGGGCCTGAGCTTGAGCTTGAGCTTGAGCTTGGGCCACTGCTGCCGCTGCTGCCGCTGCCTGTACTTGTTGCTGGAGATCAGGAGGGTTGTGTTTGCGCATATGTTTCATAAGGTATGTTTCCTGAGGGAAATGGTAAAAAATTGAGGGATGAAAAGGGAAGAGAGATTACTTGTTAACAAGTATCCTGGGCTCTACTGTGTTCAGCAGAGTACCTTTATACAGAGATATTCTGGAGCTGGGAACATGCAGAACTCAAGTAGCACTTTCAGTGCACACTGCTATGTAAAAAGGAAGGGCGCCTTTAAAAGTCACTGTGGACATTCAACTGGAAGAAACGTATTTTCTCAAATACGTTTCAATCAAGCAATTCATAACCTTTTTCTGGAGTCTAATGGAAAATACCTACCTAAATCTTTCTCTTAACATTTCAATTGGCTTTATTTTGCCTAATGTGTAAGTAAATGAAGAATCATGGTTTATTACTCTTTATAGGTTTAGGGGATCAGGCGCCCCCTATATCCTCACGTATGGGTCTAATTATTTCTGAATTACATTTGTTGGAACAGATTTTTGGCCGGAAAGAAGAGGTAGAGTGAACTGATGTCTTACAGGGCTATGGGTAAGGCAAGAGAAGAAACAGCACTCACCGATGTATATGCCCGACTACATATAGTGCAGGTGTACACCTTGGCGTGCTTCACCGTATGCGTAGATAGGTGCACCTCTAGTGAGGCTGCATCTGTGTACGCCCGATGACAGTTGTGGCACTTGAAGGGTTTATCTTTGTTGTGCTGCCGTCTGTGGGACTGAGAAAAATTAGAAGAAACCAGATGGGTAATGAGTGTATTGTGCTCATCCCTCCTGCCTCCTTAACTTGAATGGAAAACTGTGAGGTGGGCACCAGGCTTCCAACTTCACTTTCCACGTGAAGGCAATGGAAATTGCTTCAAATAGAACTTGCTCAAGCTCAGGGCAGAAGCATACCTTCATATAGCACATATCAGAATTTGCAAGTGCCGCAGTCTGGCTGGGCACAAAATCACGAGCCACTCACAGCCTTGTAGATTCAAACAGCAATTCTTTATTCCCGAACTCCACCGGCACTCTGGGAAAATCCCCACTCTCCACAGGGCTCTGCATCCCAAAATACCTCTGAATCCTGTGAGAACTCAAGGAGCGGGCGCCCAAGGCAG